TTATACCATGTATCTTTGTTCCTTATCTACAGGGGCGGAAGTGGTGTGTGACAAGTGGCGCGCTTACCACGCGAGCGGTCCGGGATCAAATCCTGGGTCGTGAGTCGCCCGGGCCAACCAAGCCTTCCATCCCTCCGGGGTCGGTTAATTGGTACCAGACTTGTCTGGGAGGATAAAAACACTGACTTGAACATCGGCTGGCCCCGCAAGTCATTGTATAGGCCACATCGCATTCAAACGCCACTGCGAATGTACAAATGGAAGTAGAATGCGTGCCGCATCCCAAAAGGGATTGATCAACGGCAAATGCTTTATCCTTTATCCTTCATCCTAGCGTTAGTCCCGCGCAGTCGCAGGGTCCGCTGTGTTTAGTCATCGCCGTTTTGTCCTATTCAGCGCAATTTCTGCTGCAGCCATTACTTCAAATTGGATTTTTCTTGTTGAAATCCCATGATAATTGAAGGCTAGAACACGACCGCGGCTGAAGGCGGAGCATTTTCGGTAACGTCATTGAGCGCAATTGGTGGAAAGGGGGATTGCGGGTATGTCCCACCAGCAGGGTCAACCCTACGTTGTTACTAGTAACAACGGGGGGGTCGTACTTGGTTGAGTTTGTAGGAGGGGGGTCGTACCCGTTTCAGTCGCTTGAAATCACATGTGAGTTTGAGGTGAAACTGAAGTTTTATGGGTAGGTAGGTTGGGTGAGTTGAGGGGCGCAGGAAAAAATTTGCCGTTGCAGCGGCGCGTATATACTCCTATAAACAGTGTAGTAGTTGACAATTATCCTTCTATTATATAAAGCGCTAACTTTGTGTGTCGGTTTGTGTATGTCTGTATGTGTGTGTGTGTGTGTGTGTATGTATGTATGTGTGTCCGTCCGCAAAATGAAGTGAGTGAGAAGGAAGCTCATGGGATAAACAAACCGCTAACAAATCGGGTAGCTTACAGGATTTGAGATATCAATGTTTTGTAGCAGGATAGTTGTGATAACACTCTTAGGGCTATATAAACACCTGCTTAGCACACTTCCGTTCATTTTTTTTTTTTCATTTTATTTCCCCCAACATTCCACATGGTGCTGCAGTGGCAGCTGGAGGGCAGTGGAGAGAGGAAGGGAGGATGAGGAAGGGAAGCGAAAAATCTACCGTCATATCATGATTGTGTCCCTTCTACTGTATGAAACACCATTGTGTTGCATACGCGTCACTTCCAGGAGGTGTTGGTGTCACAGGAGGAAGGGACCATAGCGGAGGATAGAAAGCTTGCGCAGGAAAGGAAGGTCCCGGCGGTTGACGGGGGACTAATCTGGTATAATGAAAAGATAGGGTAAAAACCGAAAACAACTAAAGTAAATAAAATGCCGGAATGATATAGGGAATTTTACTGTTTCAGAGTAAGTATATTAATAACATCATGGGGGTGACCTGGTCCGCGCTCAACAATGCTTCACCACAATGGCTTAATTGAATGTCACCAAAACGCATTCACCCTCAAGGCCAATCAACGTTCACTGCCTTTAGTGCAAATAAATCTGTCATAATAAATCTGTACCACCCCCCCCCCCGTTCTTTTGCTCGTGCGCGTCACCATATGCGCACTCAGTCCGTTATATGTTGAGGGCAGATAGTACGAAAAATCGTTGCCAATTAGAGCTGTAGGTTAGAGGTGTTAGGGATACACTGGTAAAAAATTGAGAGAAACAACTTAGAAGCTGCAGAATACAATAATTTTTCCCATTGATTTTGCTCAGGAAAGCCAGTGACCAAGACAATCTCGTTTGCACGTGTTGATCACGATAGCTGGTATCATGCCAATAAATATCATCCTCTGATTGCTGAGGCATTCTAGAAAACTGCGAGAACTGGCCGTTTGGGAGGAAACCTTCTCCCGAAATAAAGAGTACAATACGGCGGATCAGATAGATCGCACCACAACAGGCGGCGCTGACCAGAGCTAGGGTTACCCATGTGCGTAATGGCCCGCCCTTCGCGGCGGATTCACCGTCTATACTTACATCCTGAGGCACCGTAACTTATTGCAGATATCGATTCCTCCCCATTTTTCTTATATCGGCGTTTGCGGCCGACACATATCCCCTTTATCGCTGCATCATCCTTTGAGATTGATTCCTGACCAGTTCATGTACAGCAGCGGTCAACGATTTTTCGGTTTGCGATGAGGAGGAGTCGCCGAAACGATTTTTAGTGGATTATTTTTCTTTTCTCGCTCGAGCAGTGCCCTTTAAAAATTGATATACCATGCTTTCTAGTGTTTTCATGTCCTCGAGTTTCGAAGAATCAAGGGACATTCAAATGAAGTAATTTTCGAGGCCGCCATTGCATTTCTCCCGCAAAAAGAGGAGAAGCACGGAAAACCGTTTCGGTAAACGCTTTTGGCCGCTTCTCTAGGTGCCATACTCTGGATCGACTTGCCGAATCGCGCGTGTAATCGAAAATATAGACATCGGCCTTTACGTGAACGACTATGCATGAACTTACCTCTGAGCTGAGACCGTGAAATTTGCGACGGTGGCTGTGCCTGCACTTTCGATTTCTTTTTCGACACTGCTCTGGTGGAACGTGTCGCAGAACGTGTTGTGCACTGAATGCAGCCATTTCAGAATTGGTTGTATAGCCAAAGGATCGTGCACCTGCCGCATGCATGCAGCATATGTGGCGATTTCGATGCGAAACTATCGTGTCCCACCATACCGGAGGTCAGGTAGGGAAGTTATGAAATGCCAATGCAACGCCAGCTTTATAAGTGCCTCGAGCCAGCTCCACTGGGGTCCGCGTTAGGTCAAGACCGGTGCTTCGCGCACACAAGACGTCATAATAAAGCAGCGGCAACGGCTGTACCGTAACCGTGCCCACCCTTTTAATGAATTAGGTAGATTGAACGCTCACTCCACGGACTGTGATAACCGTTGAAGTGCGCAGAAAAACGACGGAAGAGGCATGCCGAATGCCACGTGGCATCGATTTGTTGCGGCGGCGGATTACGGTAATAGCCGTTCTCGCGGACCGGTTGTTACTTCGAACGATGCTTTCGGCACCCGCCCCTGTAGTGCTGCGGCCTCGGCAGTCGGTTATCTTCAGGGCTCGGTGGATTCGTGCCTCTGGCCTACTTCCTGCATTCCCAGGAATCAGCAGCCTTGCTGTGGCGTCATGTATGGGGCTGGCGTTTAAGCACATTACCCCTCAACTCAAACTTGCCCAGATGGTTCTATGGAGTTCTTTGCCCAATGTCTAATTTACTTGGATATTTTTAGAAAGTCAATCGATTGTGCCTCTAATTATGATACCATCATATCACTCTTTTTTGTCACACGGTGATTGGCCAATAACAAATAAATATGCACAAAGTGCCTAAGTAATGTCGTGGACTATTGCGAATCCTTACTCCGTCGTCTGAGGATACGGTAGTATTGCTCCGAGATCGCCGCGCAATTTACTGCGCGGGCGGGTGTAACTAGACTTTTATCAAATGTGAAAATATGAAAATTGTTCAGCATGAGCAGTCCCCCACCCCCTCCCCCCTCAAATACAACCACATACCACAACTTCAGCCTCGGATTTACGTAGCCGTGCCGTTCGTCGTATTCGATTCTTTTTGATGGCACAAAGATATAATATTAAGTGAATACACCCTGAAATCCCATGAATAACTCTGCCCACTTTACATTTCAGTGAATCTAGAAGTTCTCATGGACCCTATTGGCTTGAGGTGATTAGCAAGGAACCTGTACATTATCGATAACTCGGTGAGCTCTGACGAGCTACGACTGTTGTCGAGAGGTACCAATCAATATCCATAGCTTTTGCTGGCGCAATTGAAACTCGCAGTTTTACGTAGACTTACACTATGGGTACCCGATAAGAGACCCCGTCGCGCGGGCAAAAGGCAGAGACCGTAAAGGCGTTAGTGGAACGAGCGCAGAACACAATAGGATTCGGCAAGTAAGTAGAATGTGCCATTGTACGTCCTACATCGCACATCAGGCGCTGCGATTCGTCCATTGACCCGTCTGCGTCTGCTTTCTCGCCGCATGACGGGCCTCTTGTCCGGTACCCAACCAACAATATTGTTATTTGCTATTATTCTTACAGCCCCGGATGCCGGATCGGACTGTGTTGTAATGGCGCGTCTAGCGAACTGTGTCCCACGTTAGAACGTGCGTAATTGTGGGCGATACACGGCGTTAAAGGCAAAGTTCGGGCTCAGACCCACCTAATAAGCCCTTAAAGTGGCTAGAAGTGCATGGGACGCAACTGCAGGCGACTCGCCAAGTTCCCGCATCGAAATGCGTCACTAAGGCGCTAGGGGCCAAGGACTTTGACACGCTCCACCTGTTGCGACACGCTCCGCCCACCGCTCGATATTTTGTCTGCGTCGCAATGCTGATCTGCTATGCTCTCTCTTCTCGGATTTCTCTACCGCTCTCCGCGCTCACATTATCTCTCATCTCCCTGCCGGCCTTTTGAACTTCTCCGCAACGTAGAGCAAAAGGCTCGTATTTCCTGTGTATTTCACGAATTTTTTCCTTTTTTTCTCCACTGGCGGTCCACCTCCCACCCCTACATCACATTTGAGTAGAATTACCTCATCAGTTTAAGCTTGAATCTTGCCTTTAAAGTACCTTCGTAGAAATCGCCATGGAACGCATAAATATCGAATTTTCGCGGGGAATCCAACGTCGCTCTTAAAAGCGTGATGCATTTTAAAGTAGCTGCTTGCGCAAGATGCAGTGTGTAGTGATTGTCGCCTTTGATTTTCAGGAAGATACATCAAATTTTTTTTACATACCATAAATCTGTATTGTCAAATGTAATGACGTCAGAATAATGTTCATAATCACATGAATATCATGAAATAGGGCATACATGAGGAAGTGTTATTAGCGATAAAAACGAATTGATAAGGCCTCAAAAGCGACATCGGAATAGATTTGTTGCGGATTTCGCAACCCTCTCCATGTGAACTGTAGAGCGGAGAGGAAAGTGTGAGGA